ATATATCCTGCATTTTAATACATCTCCCCCCCACTTCCAGGTACCATTGTCACCAGACATTGTTATTCATTTCACCTCTCGATGGTCAGAATGTCATGGCCGATCAGTGTGTAATAAGCTCTGCACGACTCGGTCTTTAATTGGTGCAAGCCCCAACATGCTCATACTTAAAACCTATCTTGGGAAAAGAAAAACCTCCCCTTGCAGTGGGACTACACCTGCACTGCAAGGGTTAACTGCTCGTTTTTGTCTAGGGGGACCCTCTAAAGCAGTTTTCCTTCCCTTCTTCCTCTAGGATCCAAGGCCGGCACCCACTAACTCTTCTCCCCTCCAATCTGGTGGTCAGAGGACTGCTGAGGTCATCACGTCTAACACAGGGTTCACAGCCCGGCATTGTATGAGAGGACTCCAAGGGACAGACCACTGCAGGAGCAAAGGGGTGAGATGTGAGCGCTGACTGCTGGGGGAGTGGGGAGAGTTTCACAAAACAAAAATTTTCCCTTAAGTAAGCAACCTTGAAGCAAAACCATCAGGGAGCAAAGCATGCGGAAATGTTGGAGTATGGGTTTCATTACGCACACACAAGGTTACGGGTAATAAGCTTTGATACTCCAATGTCTATATAGGCACAGTGATCTTACCAATGGCTACAGGATACACCAGTGGTAATTTTCCTATGTGCCACATTCAGTTTCTCCTGCATGAGTTCCCCATTAGAATAACACCAAAGACCCCCCTACACAATAGACAACATCACTGAATCAGAAGAGTCAGAGCATAAAGACCACGAGGTCCATCCAGTCTGCCCCCTTTTTGATTTTATTTACTAACTTGTCTGTGCATAGGTCAATGGTTTTCCCAAGCATGTCTGAACTCACTTAAAGGGCAAGTTCACCTCCCAAATTGTGAACAAAAATGAACTTACCCACCTCCCCCACATGTCTGAGGTCCCCACCAGCAGGTGTAGCAGTCCATACACAAGATTTACAAGCCCTTCAGCATGGAATTGCTCCCACTTCACAGAAAGGTCACATGACCGTGCTGACCAATGAGAAGTGCTTCCGAGCCAGGGACCAATTTACAGAAGAAGCACTTCCGGTAAAAGACTTTGTTCTGGCGAGGGACTAAAGCCTTGGTTCTCAACTGGTGGGTCGTGACGCAAAAGTGGGTCGCGACCATGTGTTCAGTGGGTCGCCACATGCATTCCACTTTTCCTGGCGAGGGGCTCCCAAGCAGTCATTCAAAATATGCCAGAATGTCAGCTGAGATTGGGCTATGGCCACGAGGGAGCTCCATCCATATGTGCATTGCTTCCTCACGTGTCCTGTAGAGGTGCCTGGACCAGAGCGGCATCACATTCTGGCTCCCGGGACCTCTACAGGGCGCACAAGGGAGCTGTACAAGCAACGCACATATGGATGGGGCTCAGTCACAGCACAGCAGCCCACACTGGACCCCCAGCTGAGGATCCACTTGTGAGATTGGGAGACTGGGTGGACATACCATGTGTTCTGGTGTGGGAGGTGTGTTGCGCTGCCATTCATTTGAATGGCACCCCAAACACCTCCCACCCACAATTCGATTGCCCACATCTGAATGCACGGTACCACAATGCCGTGCATTCCATTGCAGTGTGACTTGGGTCACAACTTAATGACCGGGGACAAATGACCGGGGACAAATGTGGATCCTGAGGTTACACAGGTTGAGAACCACTGGACTAAAGGAATCAAAAGGTTAAGTCTGTAGCACAGTGAAAGCCTTCTTAGATAAATCATATGTCCAATTCCATCACATATCCCCAAAATAAGAATTATTCCTCATTTCACGAGAAAGTAGGTGGAGCCATGTAAATCATTCCTTTACACCCCATCAGAAAGAATCACCAGTGTATAGTGCAAATTGAGTATTATAAGAGCCATTTCTTACAAACTGTATACTACGGTTTCAGGTTTTTAAGCCATCATCAGTGCGGTGTATGGTCACCATGGCTTCTATGGCATAGGGCTTGTGACCCAATGAGATGGCACAGCCATACAGGGCCAAAAGGAATCAAACAGCCCTACAAATAAATCAGTGTGTAGTATAGTTTCTTTCCAAGAATGTGGGCGGATTTAAGCAAATGTTTGGCTTTAGATGCAGGTTCTCTTAACGAGCACAGGCCGTCGCGTCGCGCCCCCCCGTGCAGTTCATCACATGCTGTGCTTGGAAGCCATGTTGCTAGGTCTGTGTACAATGCAATGACCCACAGAGCAGGTACACAGCCAAAGTGTCTGGACTCAAAGCCGGAAGGCTTGCTCGGCTCCCGCACCCATGTACTTCATTCAGATTATAGCAACAAACGGATTCTACACGGTTTCACCTCTAAAACTCCCTCCTATCCCCACTTACCTCCACCTCAGTCGGAACAAAGAAACCACGTCCACGTGAGCCGTACCCGCAGGTTATATAACCAAGGAGCGCGGGATCGCGCACTGCTTACACCTTATTGGTCCGCAGCCTCTTTCAGTCACGTCCGCTCTTCTCCTCAGTTTTTCATTGGTCCTCAGCCTCCTTCGGTCCCGCCCGCTTTTCCGTTCAATTCCTCATTAGCCCTCACACTCTCTCTCAGTACCGCCCGCTCTTCTGTTCAATTTTCTAATTGGTCCTTAGCCTACGTAAGTCCCGCCCGCTCCTCTCCTCGATTTTTAATTGGTTCTCAGCCCCCCTCGGTCCCGCATGCTCTTACTCTCGTTTCTTCATTGGGTGGCAGCCTCCTCGCCCCGCCCTATATATTCTATCGCGATATTTGGCTGGGTATATGAGTCCCCTTCCGCCCTTTCCCGGCCTTCTAATCCATTGAAATCACGTAAGTGATGGCGGCTTCAGGAGGGTGGGCTGGGATAGAATCGGCAAACATCCGCGTAGTGTCGCCGGCTCGGTAGCCGGAGGAGGGCAGTGAAGTTTGGGGAGAGTCTTAGGGAAGCCACGGCGTCAGCATGTCTTGTATAGAGCCGAGGGGTGATTTATTTTGTCCGGTAGTACTCGTGTCGCCATCGTGCTCCGTCTGTATGGCCTGTGTGTGATCGTTACCGGAGTGATCATTACCAGACCGGTGTCAGTGGTTGCTATGCTGTGAGCTGACCACACACTATAACAATCTTATTGTGCAACCGTCTTTATATCTGTCGGGGATCCCGTACGGCCCGATTGGTTGTACTGTTTCATTAAATGGGACCCGCACCCATTAAATCCAAGCTATATAAATTATTTCCTCTGGCCCTATTACTATTAAATGATTCCAAAGTACAGGAAAAGGAGCCAGTTTGTTTCCTCGGGGAGTGCGACGTGTAGTGTCAGGTGACCTCCTGCATTGGGATTACATGTCCCATGTGTACGCATGGCCAGCCCATAATGAGTATGTGTGCATGCTTTATTACAAATCGGTGGTGTATTTGTCCCAGTCCATACTGTGCATGTGTGCACCCTTTATTACCATCAGTGGTGTCGGCCCAGTCCAAAGCTTTGTCACCCTTAGTGGTGTCCTGGGCCTAGTCTATACTGTGCATGTGTGCACCCTTTATTACCATCAGTGGTGTCGGCCCAGTCCAAAGCTTTGTCACCCTTAGTGGTGTCCTGGGCCTAGTCTATACTGTGCATGTGTGCACCCTTTATTACCATCAGTGGTGTCGGCCCAGTCCATACTGCACATGTGTGCACGCTTTGTCACCCTAAGGCCCCATTCACACTTGGCGATTTGCAAATTGCGCAAATGCTTGCATTGAGTCTCCGCAAAATCCACTCCAAAAAGGGTCCTGCTGTAGCGACGCATGACCCGCGACAGCAGGACCCATTGCCATGCATTGGAGAGCGATATCGCGCGGTAAATAGCCGCGATATCGCGGGAATTACCGCACGATAAATCGCTCAGTGTGAACGGGGACTTAGTGATGTCCTGGGCCTAGTCTATACTGTGCATGTGTGCACCCTTTATTACCATCAGTGGTGTCGGCCCAGTCCATACTGCACATGTGTGCACGCTTTGTCACCCTTAGTGGTGTCCTGGACCTAGTCTATACTCTGCATGTGTGCACGCTTTATTGGTGGTGTGCTCAGTCCAATCCATAACATAAGTGTGCGCATGCTGTATCGGCATCAGAAGCCGCCTCCATGCCCAGCTTTATTACCATCAGTGGTGTCCACAGCCTGATCTACATTGCACGTGTGCACGCTATATCAGCATCATGGGCCTCCTGCATCCGCAACCCATCCAGCACGTGCCCCCCTTGCAACAGTTGTAGTCTTGGTTGGGGATACTCTTGTCAGGGTGGCTCCAGGGAGACCCTGCAAGTGGCCTTTTTTTTTTTTTTTTTTTTTTTTAGGTGGGGAAAAACCTGTTGGTAACCCCCCACTGGGGAGATTTACCCTTTTTCTGTCCTGGTGACACTGTTGTAAGAAATAGGAGAGGGGGTTGTCACCAACATAGGAAAGCATGGATGGCAAAAGTTAAAAAAACTAACCCTTCCCCTGCGGCCGTGGAAGAGGCAGGGGCCGCGGAAGAGGACGTGGGGCCCGTGGAAAAGCTGACGACAAGGAAGTGAGTAGAGATTGGTTATTGGCGGCTTGTCTTCCAGGTGCGTTCATTACTGTAGCCTAACTGTCCTTTGTCACGCAGTGGGTTCCCGTCACCAAACTCGGCCGCCTGGTGAAGGACATGAAGATCAAGTCCCTGGAGGAGATCTACCTCTTCTCTCTGCCTATTAAGGTACATTTTGTAGCTTGTATATAATTACATAGTTACATAGTATTTGAGGTTGAATAAAGACATTAGTCCATTAAGTCCAACCTGTTAGGATCTCATTCTAGGAGTACCTGTACCCCTGTATATTACCTGTACCCCTGTATATTACCTGTACCCCTGTATATTACCTGTACCCCTGTATATTACCTGTACCCCTGTATATTACCTGTACCCCTGTATATTACCTGTACCCCTGTATATTACCTGTACCCCTGTATATTACCTGTACCCCTGTATATTACCTGTACCCCTGTATATTACCTGTACCCCTGTATATTACCTGTACCCCTGTATATTACCTGTACCCCTGTATATTACCTGTACCCCTGTATATTACCTGTACCCCTGTATATTACCTGTACCCCTGTATATTACCTGTACCCCTGTATATTACCTGTACCCCTGTATATTACCTGTACCCCTGTATATTACCTGTACCCCTGTATATTACCTGTACCCCTGTATATTACCTGTACCCCTGTATATTACCTGTACCCCTGTATATTACCTGTACCCCTGTATATTACCCGTACCCCTGTATATTACGGTCCCTTAAGAAATCGTCCAAAAGTTTCTTGAACAATTCCACATTATTTGCTGAAATCACCGCCTGTGGCAGCGAGTTCCAGACCCTAACTGATCTTACTGTGAAGAACCCCCTTCGCCCCTTGTGCTGGAATTTTGTTTCCACCAATTTTAGGTGGTGGCCTCTAGTTTTTGTAATGGAGTTAATTTTAAACACTAATTGGTTATCATAATTCACACCAGCTCTGTGCCCAGATGGAGCTTATAGCCTGATGTCCAGTACTTAAAGAACCAAACTGGGCAAAGTGACAGGTTCCTTTGACAGCAGGCTCTTAGGAGGTTTCATGATCCGCCATGGTCACTTGTTAAAAATGCAGTGCTACAAGGTAGGGAGGAACCTTCCTTTCATGGAGGGACCTTTACTAAAGCTCTTTGCTTACAATGCTCTAAATGCCCATAATGGTCTGGTCCACCATTAAGTTTTGTCAAAACCAGGTACACTCAAAGGGAATTGGAAACCCAACCCCCTACCTTCCTGCAGTGCTTTCTGTATGTGCCTAACTATCAGGCCTGAGCACTGCTACACAGGGCCAAGCGAGAGAGGGATGGGTGCTCTTTACAATGAGCTTACTTGCCCGAATGCTTTAGAACGCTGACCAAGGAGAAGTGTGCAGATCTTTGCGTTATTGCATGTTCCTGGTTGGTGGCCCAGCATGTTGATTTTAGGGAGTTAGGGTAGTAGCATGTCAATCTGTACCTGCAGGAAGCTTCAGATTGTCTTGTAACTGGTTTCCCTTAGTCTGTAGATCTTGTAGAACAGAGTCCATTTTCATTTGTCTCTTTTCATCCTGATAATTCTTTCCACTTGTAGGAGTCTGAGATCATTGACTTCTTCCTGGGCTCCACTCTTAAAGATGAGGTCCTGAAGATCATGCCTGTGCAGAAGCAGACCCGTGCCGGACAGCGGACAAGGTTCAAGGTAGGTCTGATGCTCTGGGTTTGCTGCTCTTGTTAGCTGGAGGCAGTGCACTTGGTAGGGAAGTAACTGATCTTGTAGCCTCCAGTGCAGTAAGGAAAGCTGGTTTCTGGGTAACAAGAGCCAGGCACATTGGTCTTTCATAAATAGGTTTGTAGTCTTTTACTATAGCACAACATGCCATGTATTAAGTTGTCCTACCAGTCTTTGGCTGGTGGACACTGGACCTAACTCCATGCATGTGGTGTCCCTGGTGGGGTTTTTAACCCATGCCCCTTGAGCTGCAGGGCAAGAATGCTAGCTTTCTATTGCTGAGGTGTTTTTCGTCTATACACGGGATACTTTCTGATATGATTTTGTTAACACTAAAATGTATTTAAAGCCAAAATGTTTACTTTTGAAAGTGGTGAGGCGTATGTCCACTTGAAGTCTCATCCTTTCCACTCGTCCCAGTGACCATTGTCACCAAGACTGAAAAAGAGTGGTAGTTGGAATAAGTCGGTGAACATGGGCTGTTAGTCATACAGGAGATTCTTGGTGTTGGAGACATTTATTTTCAGGTAGTATTTATTTTTGTTTTGCTTTTCAGGCTTTTGTGGCCATTGGAGACTACAACGGCCATGTTGGTCTGGGCGTGAAGTGCTCCAAGGAAGTTGCCACTGCCATCCGTGGTGCCATCATTCTGGCCAAACTGTCCATCGTACCTGTCCGCAGAGGCTACTGGGGTAACAAGATCGGCAAGCCACACACCGTGCCCTGCAAGGTAATGTTCCACATATCAGCCATATTGTACGGTGCTGGAGGTCTCTCAGCTCTGATCAGTTACACGTTTCAAAGTTGTGTGATTGTCTTTTACAAGAGAGGCATAGCAATGGGCTCTGTATGCACGGCAGGTCGACCGATGAAGTGATCTACCTGTTCCTCTTTTGAAGCTCTACATAGATGACATGACTGTGATCATTGATGATCTGGCAAAAGTGCCAGTGCAAAGTGACGTTTTACTTGTGTAGTTTGGCTTCTTATCTGGTGTATCCCAGCAGGGATTTCCTGGGTACTTAAGGCCTCATGCACACGGCAAAAGAAGCTGGGGCTGAGGATTTCTGCTGCAAGAACCTGCACATACTTGAGGCAGGAGTCCCAGGTATGTCCATACAGATGCGGCTGATGTGCCTAGTCAACTGAATGACGGGCTGACAGTGGTCATGACTGTCTGCATGTAGTGGTAAGTGGAATGACTACCTGCAGTTTGGGAGAAATGCTTGTCCCTGGACGCAGAGATTTTATCCAGGGACAAGCCTCTTTCCTGATCCGCTGGTAATCCTTTACGATTACATGTGGACAGAAGCGATTGCTGTCAGCCTGTGATTAACTTGAATGGGCATGGCAGCTGTATCTCTAAGGACCCAACTGGGTTTCCTGCTGCAAGAATCCTCAGCCACATCAACTGCCACGTGCATGAAGCTGTAGTGTTTAGGACATTTGACGTCTACATTTCCCATTGTATAAAGAAAACAATTCTGTAGGGAGCATTGAACCTATTTGCAATGTGTGCAGATCATGAAACCAGTAATCTGATCTCTAGAATCCACTAGGTATGAGGCCGTTAGACTTGGGGGTTACTGACCTCTTTTTAATATGATGCTTGGCAATTAATTATGACCACTGCAGCAGAGGGATAGCACACAGGGAAGTGTGGGGGGGGGGGGTCAGGTGTCATTCTGCGTCTGCCGATTGTTCATGAAATTACACAACTTACAATTGATTTATGGAAGTGTGTATAGTACAGCAATTGTTCAGATGTCTGGGGGCAGCTCGGTAAGGAACAACAACTTGGGGCTGTTGTGTAAAAGCTGAGGGGTAGGAATTGGCTGTCTGATTTGGCACCAGATACTTACAATAGTCAGGTAGTGATCAGTTAATATTTGCAGCACAGCCATGTTCAGCTTTCAGTCTTTGACATAAGAGAAGAAAATCTCCAAATGAATACGACTTAAGCCTTTGCTTTTTCCTGCAGGTGACAGGTCGTTGTGGCTCCGTACTGGTGCGTCTGATCCCGGCTCCCAGAGGTACCGGCATTGTCTCAGCTCCTGTCCCCAAGAAGCTGCTGATGATGGCTGGTATTGATGATTGCTACACCTCGGCTAGGGGCTGCACTGCCACTCTGGGTAACTTTGGTAAGTAATCTGCAGAGGTTTGTAAGGACATTTTTGGTATCCAAGACCGCATTCAAAGCCAAATTAACATTTTTGTTGGTGTGGGTGAACTCTAGTGCATGTTCATTACAGGTATTTATAGAACGCTGACAATTTACTCAGTGCTTTACATAGTTGCACATTCACATCAGTCCCTGCCCTCAAGGAGCTTACAATCTAAGGTCCCTCTCTCACACGCATACAAACGGGGGCTGATTTAGACAGGAACCAGTTAACCGACCAGCATGTCTTGGATTTGTACATAATGGCACACCTACCTACTGTGTGCTCTTCCTAACCATTACAGATGTAGGTTCCCATCACTGCTTCTGGGTCCCTTAAGGATCCATTGGACACCCGGGAGTTGCACTGTCCCAGGCATGCCAAGAACAGAGCCAGAGTTTACACAGAAGATACAGTATTCACTCAGAACCTGGGAAAAGATTCATGGCAGACGTTGCATGTTTCTTCAAAGTCCACCTGGTGCTTTTTTCTTTTCTTTCTGTGCTTTAATATACTTGAGAACACTGACACTTCAAACCATTCCCATTGGTTCCTGTCCTTAAAGGACCTTTTTATGATTTCATTTTCTACCATAGTCCTACATGTTTGAGTGGAAGCAGATTTAACGTAGTGGTGGTCGATTGTGAGTGGAAACGTATATAAGCTCAATGTGGGAACTGGGGCCCAGTTATTGGGTGGGGGTCACGGCACTGCCTATTAAAACTCACCATATTAAATCTCCTCTGAATGCTAAAAGGTGATGGCAGAACACTTGCAACATGCATCTATCTTTTCCCAGTCAATGACCAGTACAGTTAGAATATACAGGTGCCACCCGTGTTGGAAATCCAAAGATTTTGCATTATCACCAAATTAATTGAGGGAAAAATCTTCAAATGGGGATCTCTGTCCTCTGACAACTCCATTTACTATGGAGCAATTTCCTTGTCTCTAGGACAGGAGTTTAAAGGAATATTCCCCAGCAGGCCATAGGCAGCAAAAATACCTAATAGAGGCTTCATTGCTTTCCATCTCTATGTAAAACAAAGTTTTAGCTTTAAATACACTTTAAGCAAGAAGCAGACCTCCTGGTGTATGCAGTGAGCAGATATGGCCACCCAACCAACATACGACAGTCTATACATGGAAAGAAGGCTGATTGGTAATATGTATATCAAAAGATCATTGATTACACAAATTTGCTTGTTGGAAGAATGAATGTTTTTTTTCTTGTCCAAGTTTTTGGTTCTATTTTATAGAGCTGGTTTTTTATATGGCAGATTCACTTTAACATTATACACTTTTTCCCCCTCTACACAATGCAGCTAAAGCCACCTTTGATGCCATCTCAAAGACTTACAGCTATCTGACTCCTGATCTCTGGAAGGAAACTGTCTTCACAAAGTCCCCATACCAGGTACGTTGTGTGTATGAAAGTCTGTTGGAAGACGATGCAAGTCTATGTAGCTGTTTAATAGAAGCTGGTGCTGAGAAGATGCCACTTCTGATGTCTGAAAACTACTTGTTTTGCTGTCATGCTGACTTAATAGCGTCTATCTCTACACCCATACATCAGTGTGTGTGTGAAGATTAAGAGGTTATGATTTCAATGTCGGCACACTTCTAGGTCTGTCTCGGCAGTCTTGATGCTAGTAAGCCATCCAGGATTTGATGGGTGGTTAGCAATGGCAGCATTCACATGTTGTCATTACAGGTTTCATTGAAGTTCATGCTACCTGTCATTAAAAAAACAACTCATTTTTATGGGTATATCAATGGTTTTGGGACATGTATTGTCTTTTGACTGTAGTGGTAGGACATCTGTTGCTGTTATCTGTTTATTGTACTCCATGGAGTGTGCACAAATGAGCCTCAGAGGGGTTATGGCTTTTCCCCATAGTTCTCCTAAGGGTAACGGGAGGACACAAACTAGCGTTCTCCCGTCACCCAAAGCTCAGTATACTGCAAGCTACAGCTCGCGGTATACTGAGACGCCGGGACGGATCCCGACATTGCTGTCGATCCACCCAGCTGCGGGATTGACAGCTGGCTCTACCCATCTAGAGGCAGAGCCAGCAATACCTGCCCCTCCCCCGTCCGTTCTGCCAGTCGGTGCTGGAGGATCGGACGGGGGAATCTCTGCAGGGATTGAGCGAGCGACTGTATGTCTTCACTCCCCGATCTACTGAGCCGACCTGTGACAGTTTCATTGTCACAGGTCGGCTAGAACTATGAGGCTGAGTGAAAATCACTTGCCTCATAATTCTCCAAGTAGTAAATGGTAAGGAGTGTGCCATATTGTGCATGTGATTTTATGAAGGTGGCTTAAATTGACACTAAACACTTTTTTCTTCTACTGTTTCCCCTCCTTAGGAGTACACTGACCATCTTGCAAAGACTCACACCAGAGTGTCTATGCAGAGGACCCAGGCTGATGCTGTTCCTGCCACCTCCTAAATGTTCTATCAAAGAAAATAAAGATCAATGTTTTCACCATTAGAATTGTGTGGGCTCTTACTGTTCAGGGATCTGCTTCTTCTCCCACACCCCCTACGTGGAGGTTACATTAGAGTTGATGCGAATTAGCCTTTTGACAGCTATATAAAATGTGTGCTGTCCTATAGCTGTAGGACCTCTAAAAGACCATGTTGCCAAACCTTTGATATCGCTGACCACCACAATCTCTTTTTTTTTTTAACCCCTTCGTGACGGGAGACGTACAGTGTACGTCTTGTCACTTTGTGCCTATATGACTGGCCACGTACACTGTACGTGACGAGTTATATCAGGCTTTGTAATGCCGGTATTTGCTGATTCTCAGCATTTAACAGTCATTCATTAATGTCTCAGTATTGAGGCATTAATTAATGAAATAATTAAGCTTTTGGTAAAAGCTTCTTCCTTTCATTAATGAAAGAATGAAGCCGTTACATGCAAATAGAGGACCGCAATTTGCGATCCCGTATTTGACAGCTCAAAATAGCAGAGAGGCAGCAGTGACTCACCTCACCTCTCTGCTATTTGTTTTGACAGTTCGAGAGCCCGATGTTTAGATACATTTCACTGAAAGAATACAATGTATCTCTTTTGAGTGAAATGTATCATTTCTGATCGTCTAGGCACGATCAAAGAGCTTTTAGTGAGATCTGAATCTGACTAAAGTCAGGATCAGTCTCTAAGGTTATTATTAGCTGTTCCTAAGTTTGGATCAGCCTAATAGCCAAAAATAAAATAAAAAAGTTAATTTATCAAGCTGTCATAGTGATTGCTTGATATAAACTGACAAGAAAAAAAAAAGTTTTTTTATTTTATTTTTATTTTTTTTACAAAGTGTAAAAAAATTAAAATAAAGTGTAAAACAAAATTAGGAAAATATAAATTATATATAAATATATTTTTTATACTATAATTAATATAAAAAAATTCTAAAAAAAAAAAAAATAATCAAAACTTGTGAAAAAAGTGTTTTCTTCTAGTTTTTTTCCTCATTTTTTTTATTTTATTCAAACTAAGTGAGGGGTTAGGTACACATAAGTGATATAATTATATAGCCCTATCTGTCCTCTAAAAAAACTATATAATATGTGTGGGTACATTTAGTAAGAAAGTATATTACTGCTGTGGAAGAATCACACAGCAAAAATGTGTCAGTCATTTATGAACAGAACCTGAAAACTAGCTCAGTCATGAAGGGGTTAATGCAGATTTCATTGGAGAAGATCAGGCCTAAGGCTGCTGTTAGTAGTGTGGATGTGATGTCAGCAGCAGAACAGTCACTTAAAGGACAACTATGGGGTCAGGGCTTTTCCCCATAGTTCTAAGGGTAACGGGAGGACACAAATTAGCGTCCTATCACCCTAAGCAGCTTGCGGTATACAGTGACGCCAGGACGGATCCTGACATTACTGTAGATCCACCCAACTGCGGGATTGACAGCTGGCTCTGCCTATGCAGAGCCAGCTGTACCGTCCGTTCTTCCATTCAGTGCTGGAGGGGGGAATCCCTGCAGGGAGCCGTGAGTGACAGTCACGGCTCTGCAGGAAGTTGATCGAGGAACGCTGGTATGTGTTCGCTCACCTCCCGATCTATTGAGCCGACCTGTGACAGTCTCATTGTCACAGGTCGGCTAGAACTATGAGGCTAAGTGAATTTTCACTCACCTCCTAGTTCTCCTTTAATGAAATAGTAATA